CTGTAAAACTTCAAGGGAATCTTTGAGATCATTTGGGTCTGAGTAGTACGTACGTAATGTGAATTGTACTGAATTCACATCTCTACGAAATGCTGTTCTCTTTCCCGTTTCCATTCACTGGTATCCATCAGTCTGCTGCAGTTATGAGCTTACATAATTGATTGCTTTAGAGAGTGAACATTCCATTTCTTAGCTTATTCAAATGAGACTGGTTCTTCTGGTTGTTGGCATGAAACTAATTACTAGACCTTCAGCTCTGAAAATGAGGGAGGTGATACAGAGGGAGAATCAACTCGTGTGCATGCTTGTGTGCTTTTCCCAGCTTAGTTGCATCAACTTTGACTCAGTTTACCTAAATTCTTATGGTGCTAGCTAATGCTAGCATAACTGCTCTGTGTTACTTGGTAGCAATATGCCACTGTGACTCAACAGAGTAGCAGTTTAGCTTGTGCAGCTCTCTTAAAATGGATGGTTTTGAGCCAAAAGGTAGATGATTCTTGGCAAAAAATATATTCACTGATGAAGTCTCAGCCTCTTTTGAAAAATATGGGATCAAACATTAAAATGAATATGCAAAAGTAGCATAGCATTGTTAAAAAAAAACACCTTAGTTTTAATAAAGCCAAACTTTCTACGTATTTTTATGTTATTTTTTTTTAAATCTGATGAGAAACAGGTAATGTACTATGTGGGATGTTGCCTTGACACAGCCTGTGTAGAGTAGTAGGGGCAATGGGTAGTCTAGATGACAAAGGTGTCTGTCACTAGACTGAGGCCTAGCAAATGGAGCTGATATTTCGGTCATGTCATCAACCAGCTGTCCATTTGCACATATGAGTTTTCATTTATGATCATCTTTTCAAGGAGCAAAATCAGGGAACCTATTTCAAGTCTATAATATATAACACAAGTGGTTTTTGCATGCTGTATATGGAATTTACAGACTTGGTATTGCAGACCATTAGGAGTTAGCGGCAGGAAAAAAATAGATAATTCTTGAGATTTGTTGTTGTTATTATTGTTGTTTGCTTGTGAGCTTTTACATTTGGTTTGTTTGTTTGTTTGTTTGTTTGTTTTTAGTTTCTAGGCTTCAAATAGAATTAGAAAACATCTAACCCTAAATTATTTCTTCAGTGAGGTAAAAAAAATTAGAAGCCCAGCTCTGCCACTTTCTCTCCTCCATTTTTTTCCTTTCTGTTGTAGACAAGACTCCTCTCATGCAAATATAGAAAATTTGGGGGGAAAAATCAACTGTAATTATTTTTAAATGTTCATGTCGTGGGTAACTGGATGGTCTATTGTCTGTGATTTACTTATTGGTGAGGTCAAATGCATGAGGTCACACATCCTAAACTAATCATTTCTATTTGCATTTAGAAGGTTCACTGAGTCCTTTACCCTACATTGACTTCTGTAAAGTTAATTTTCCATATTAAAGTGCTATTCAAATTAGCCTTTTAAAAATAACAGTATAAGGCCAACTGTCAAATGGGACCCTCTGAAAGAGCAAAGCTCCTGAACAGCAAAGGCAACAGTTAACTGAGTGAAAACACCCTAGAGAATGAGAGAGAAGTCTTTGTCAGCTGTGCATCTACAGTATACAAAGAGTAACAGTAACAATAAACAAGAAAACAAACAGCCCAGTCTAAAAAAAAATGTTTTCAAAAGAAGAAATACTATCAGCCAATAAATATTCTAAACTATTCACTATCTTTAACCATCAGGCTAATGCAAATTAAGTCTACTTTGAGATTCTGTCCCACTCCTGACATAATGGCTGTCACCAAGAAAACAAATGAGAGCAAATGCCAGTGAGGATGTAAAGAATGAAGAACTCTTACATGCTTCCTGAGACAGTAAATGGCTACAGCCATTATGGAAATCTGTGTAGAGGCTTTCCACAAAAAAATAATAATAGAACTTCCGTGTTACCTAGCACTCTGACTCTTGGGAATAATCCCAAAGGTCTTTATATACTATACAGAGATATTTGCTAGTTGTTGCTCTGTTGACAATGGCTAGAAAGTGGAATTAGTCTAGGTGCCCATCAGCCGATGATAGATAAGGAAAATGTGCTACACAGTAGAATGTTGTTCAACCATAAGGAAAAATGAAATTTGCAAGAAAGCAGATGAAACTGGGAAGTCTATAAAGTGAAGTAACCCAGGCTCTGAAAGGCAAACGCTGCCTGTTATCTTATATATGCAGACCTTAGCTTATAATACTTTCATATGTGTACTTATGTGTATTTATCTGGAGTGTAGAGGCCAGGAAACTGGAAAGGCCCTAAGACAGGGAATGAAAAGTGCTCTTACGGGAAAATTATAGGGAGAAGAACGTAGAAGGTGTGTGCTGTGGAAGTGGAGAGGGTGCAGGGATACAGGGGGTTAGGCCAGGATTGGGGAGGGCAGGGAGATGGGAGAGAAAGCAGTTAAGAAGATCAAAGGAAACAAATAAAGTGAAAACTGCATAAGGAAGTCTGCTATTTTCACACCAATATAAAATAATAACAACAACAAAAAATGGGAAAAAAATGAACTCACCTCAAAATTAAGGTTATTCTGGGGAAGTCATTTGGGCAATTTTTACTGGAGAGAAAAATGTACCTTAAGCACATTCCTTCAGGTTATGCTTAGAACATTAAAGTAATCTAATCCAATAAAATGTATAGTACATTGTAAGTGGAATAAGTGAAAACAATTGATAAATTAAAAGGCATCTCACTTCTAGGACAGTCCGTCATTCACCCGATTGAATCACTGGGATCAAGTCAGTACTTTCTATCTTCTCCACACCTTGAACTCTGCCTGGCATAGATCCAGCCTTCAGGAAATTGTTTCTAAGAGAAATGAAGAATGGATTTCTATAGAAAATGTATGCAGTTGATAGTGGGTAGTTTTATGCAGCTCTCAGCAAAGCAGCTTCAGGCTAGAGCTTGGAAGTTTCTTTAACCGTGGGACTATCTGAGTGATTCTTCTAGCCTGTATATTGAAGTCTGTGCTTTCCCTGTTCCTGCCACAGATTGCTGGAAGTCCATGGCTAATGAGTAGGCCCACACTCCCAATAACAGATGGCTTTTAATCTCTGCTCTTTGGCTTCCGGGACTCAGATGCTTCGCTTAATCATATATTTTTCTCTCTCATGGAGAATCTGCTGCTGTTGGCCCTCTTCTCTGAGGTCATAATATTTTTGAGACACAAAATCATGAAAGAAACATTATAGATGTTTGGTGGTGGGAGATGGTACTTTGTGCTGGAAATCATTATGGAAAAATAATACAGTTGTGAAGGGCTACAACTGTGTACATTATCAAATAACTCCAGGTTGTAATAGCTCAGAAATGTAGTGTTTGATTACCTTATACCCAGTAATATGCTGAAGGACACACAGACATACACACATTTCTTAAAAAAAAAATCTATGTGTGCCTTGGCATATCTTAAATATTCATTGTGACACTTGGCAATTTATATTTTTATTTCTATATGTCTGATTTTTTTTGAAAACGGAAGCACCTGTCTTTTCTCCTTTAATCTGTAACAACTGCTAGCCCCAAAAATGCGAGGCTAAAGTAACCGATTTTAACTAAATAAATTATAGATTTTAAAGAAGTAGACAGAGATAACCTGAGCTAGAGCCAACTAACCTTATTTTGTTATACCAGGAAATTGGCTCAAGAGCCACTCAACAAACTCTCATATAGCATTGGTTCTTTTAAATCAAGGACTGTGATTTTCCCAAACACAGAAAACTGTCACATTTTTTGGGTGGATTTATGCCAGAATAATCCTGGTCCATTAGTTGGTAAATAGGCTTCCTTGACAAAGGCAGATAAATTATTAAATTGTATTCAGACTGTGATGAAAGCTTCAGGGAATTACATACTTACTTATATAGCAGGAAAACTGGCATCCTCAAATTACAGGGTGTTACCATGTGAGCTCCCTCCAGAGAACTGAAAACCAAACTGTAAAGAGAGTCAAATTGTTTGCTTGATACAGAAACTTCATTTTTAAAAATTAACATATTAATTTTAGTTAACAAATGATATTCTACATGCGTTTATTGTGTCCGACATGATGTTTACACAAAACCTGAAATCAAACCTCAGATAAGGTCACTTGAATTCTCTATACCTCATACTCTATATCTTAAAAATATAGCGTAGGTTTGGTGTGTAGAGATAGGAGGCAAAGTTATTTTTCTCTTTATGTCACAGAAAGTAGATTAATAAGAACAGAAGAGAAAGGTGCGAAAGAAGAGAGAAAATGCACGATGAAAAGAGATAAGGAAGACAGTAGCTAAGGGCAGGAAGCAAGGAAGGGAGAGACTAGAAGACTCCACACGGCATTGTTACAAGTCAGATGCTTGTGTACAACACACAGCATTTCAATATCTTCCCCGGGTAAATATCAATGTCTTCCCTTGCTATTATCCCTGATGCAGCTGGTGTTGCTCACAAAGAGAGGCACAAATCAGAATAGACTCGGCTAGCTTTTCAATGATTCTAAAAAGGTCGTGGGACACTGCCAAAAAAAGATATCTCTCCAGTACCCTAACATGGAGTCTTGTTAGCAAAACAGAATATGAACTGCTTGGAGATAATTCCCTGTTGCGGCTGATTCCACTGGGGACCTTCGGTGGCAGCACAGGCCGTTTCTCGTCTGTGGCCCCATGCCACCGAGCAGGATAGATCAGAAGGAATATGGAAAAGTTGCCCTTAAAAACCACCTTGCTCTTCTGAGATGCCTATTCTTCCAGCTTTTCTCTTGCTTGCTTGATTGTTTGGTTGGAGATTTTTAATGTCGGCATGATTCATACCTATTGGTTCTTAGCCTGGAGGACCTCGCACATCTAGGAATTGAGGAATTTGAAGCTGGGTATGAATAATGAATGGGCTGCGTGAGCAGAAGTCTATATGCAGTCAATAGTAAAAGCACGAGCGGAACTGCAAGCTGGCGTGTTCACGGATTCTTTCTGTGTTCTCTCTCTCTCTCAAGGAAAACACGAGCCAGAGAGCTCTTGAACAACCAACACCTGCAGTCAGTTTGGAAGGTTCATCCTCGCCATCCTGAAAGCTCCACCGGGAACATCTCATCAAGGTATTCCAAAAAGCAGGATGTTTTTGATAGGTTTTGATGATGACCAGTGCCCTCCTCAGTTCCTATCAGGATGCGGCTGTGGGGTGAGGTGGGAGGGAAACTATATTAGTTACTTTTATTATTGTGTTTACAGAATCATGTGTGCAGGCAACTCATGGTAGGAAACAGTCATATTTTGCACAGTGGTTTCATACTATTCAGTCTATAGTTGTCAGGGGTTTGGCGAGCAGAAAATTCACGGCACAGCATGTTGGCTAGGAAGCAGGTAAAGGGGACTGCTGGTGTTCCCTTCTCCCCCGTTTTATTCTGTCCTCGCCGGCATCCATAGTGTTGCCTATATCCATGGTGGGTCTTCCTCTTCTCAGTTAATCCTCACAAACACAGGGGTGTGTGCCACCAGTCTCTGAAGTAATGTTAAATTCAATCAAGTCGACAATGAAGATTAGCCACCACAAACACTGTGTCTTTAATTTTTTTTTTAATATTCTATTAAGAGGCATTAGTATTTGTCATATATTCTGGAGTTGTGACAGTTTTTAATGAGTTTGAGGTGCTATTTAGTCGGTGGGACACTTAGACAGCACTTTCCCAGTTAGTCCGTACTCCGTCAATTCCAAAGTTGTCGCGGTTCATTATCTGCAGATGATCAGGAGCAGCCTTGCATTGTGAAGGAATATGCCACCGCATCTGCCTCTGTGCTTTGGGGGCCTGCTACACAGATGATATTTTAGCAAGAGTGCTGGGTCAGGGGGCAGGAGATGTAAGCAAAATTTGTTTCTGAGGAGTTTTTTCCGGGGCCATGACATGTCTCATCCTTTCAAAGGGTGCTGAATCCAACAGTGAGGTGGATGCATCACTTGTAACGTTTACACGTGTTAGCGTGCATAATGGGTATGTAAAGTATCTGCTTGAATGTCTTGTCTAATGAATGCCATCAAATTCAATTATCACTCCCAGACTCTTCATTAACCAATCAAATTACTCCTACTCTAAGACATTTTCAACACACTTTTACTAGGCATAAACATACTTACATACTTACAACCGTTTGTAAGTATGTTGGTGACTCGCAGAATTTTATTTGGACTTCTGTGTTCCTGCCATGTGGGATTCCTCAAACATTGCCTTGATATTACTGTCTCTCTATGTAAAAGAAATATTATTATTTATTATGAAGAAATGTTATCTCCGTGTCTTTATTTTGCTACTTACAGCTATACAAGAAGGTGTAAAAGACAGGCATGATAGCTCATATCTGTAATACTAGCACTCAGGGGGCGGAGGCAGTGGTATAGCTGTGAGCTCAAGGCTGGCATGGACTGTAGAGTGAATAAATAAATAAACCTTTTAAAATAAAGAGAATGAGTTTATAGAAAGTAGGCTGTTTTGTTCTATAGAATTATGGCATAATAAGAGGTTTTACCTTTAGGAATGAACTATTTCAGTAAGAACTGCCTGTCTTCCTTACAGGAAAATAGAATCATGTAGGGTCACAGCTGTTATTGTTGAAGTGTGCTTTTATAAATTATCATAATTTCTTCATGTAGGTTATTAAAAGAGTAGACCTAAAACTGCTCAAACCTGGCATCAATAGCACTTTAATTTTCTGTGAAATAATTACAGCAGTACTAATGTATAATGAAAACTAGAAGCATTTCACTATGAAAGACAGATGCCTGCCATCCTGATGGTGATTTCTAACATATAGAGCTTAAAATATTTCTGTTTTAGTCTCTTCTACTTTGATGTCATTAGCTGTCTTCTAGTCTACAAATACTTTGGAAACATCTCGATAGATAGCCTAAAATCAGGCTATAGAAATATATGTTCTGAGATCCCATGCCAGGCATAAATCAGAATCTGTGGGAACAGAGACTAGATTTACCATTCAAATTATACATATCAGCTTACTTCTACAAACTACAAGATTTAATGACCACTGTGTAAGAAGACCAATAAGACAGCAGATTGAAAATAACAATAAAAACATTGCCTATACCATTGAAATAGAAAGTAGAAATACTTATTACAAAAAATCACTTTGTATCCAGCCTGTAATCCCCTCCCTCATCTTGTCCCAGTTCCATCCTCCCTCTCTCTTCCCCCAACCTACCATGCCCCTCCCCCAGCCACTGAGAGCAGGGCTCCTCTTCCCCTACTATCTGACCCTTAGCCCAGCAGGTCTCTTCAGGACTGTCTGGATCCCCTTTCTCTGTGGCCACCCCGCTAAGAGGAGGTGATCAAAGAGCATAAATTGTAACAAATAATAGTAATAATAATAATAATAATAATAATAATAATAATATATTTAAAATTATTTTTATTTTTATTAATTACAGTTTATTCACTTTGTATCCCCCTTGTACCTCCCTCCATCCTCGCCTCAAAATCCCACCCTCCCTCTTCCCCACCAGTCCACTGATAAGGGAGGTCCCTCTCCCAGTCCACTGATAAGGGAGGTCCTCCTCCCCTTCCCTCTGATCCTAGTCTATCTGGTCTCATCAGGACTGGCTGCATTGTCTTCTTCTGTGGCCTGGTAAGGCTGCTCCCCCCTCAGAGGGAGGTGATCAAAGAGCAGGCCAATCATTTCATGTCAGAGACAGTTCCTGTTTCCATTACTATGAAGCCCACTTGGATACTGAACTACCGTGGGCTACCTCTGTGTAGGGGTTCCTGGCCATCTCCATGAGTGGTCCTTGGCTAGAGTATCAGTTTCAGAAGAAACCCCTGTGTCCATACTTTTTGGATCTGGTGCTTTCCTTGTGGAGCTTCTGTCCTCTCCAGATCTTACTATCTCCCACTTCTTTCATAAGATTCCCTGTACTCTGCCCAAAGTTTGGCTATGAGTCTTGGCATCTGCTTTGATACCCTGCAAGGTAGAGCCTTTCAGAGGCCCTCTGTGGTAGGCTCCTGTCCTGTTTCCTGTTTTCTCCCTCTTCCTATGTCCATCCTTTTTGCCTTTCTGAATGGGGGTTCATCTTGGCCAGAGTCCTCCTTCCTGATTAGCTCCCTTAGGTGTACAGATTTAGTATGTTTATCCTAAATTATATGTCTAAAATCCACTTATGAGTAAGTATATACCCTGTGTGTCTTTCTCTTTCTGCTTCTGGGATACCTCACTCAGCATGATCTTTTTCCAGTTCCCACCATTTACCTGCAAATTTCATTACTTCCTTGTTTTTTTTTTTTTTGTTTTTTTTTTTTATCACTGAGTAATATTCCATTGTATAGATGTACCACAATTTCTGTTTCCATTCCTCAACTGAGGGGTATCTGGGTTGTTTTCAGGTTCTGGCTCTTACAAATAAAGCTGCTACAAACATGGTTGAGTGGATGTCCTTGTTGTATGGTTAACAATAATTTTTAAAAATAAAACTAAGGAAGCAACTAGAAGTAAGCCAAAAAACAGCCCTTATTTTTTTAATTTTTATTTTTATATTAGTTACAGTTCATTCACTTTGTATCCTAACTGTAGCCCCCTCCCTCAGTTCCTCCCTATCTCACCCTCCCTCCATCATCTCCTCCCATGCCCCTCTCCAAGTCCACTGATCCCTCTGACCCTACCCTATCAAATCTTTTCAAGACTGGCTGCATTGTCTTCCTCTGTATGACTACACTCAACTCAGGGGAAGGTTATCAAAGAGCCATCCAGTAAGTTCATGTCAGAGAAGGTCCCTGTCCCAATACTAGAGAACCCACTTTGATACTGAGCTGCCATGGGCTACATCTGTGCAGGAGTTCTAGGTTATCTCCATGCATGGTCCTAGGTTGGAGTATCAGTCTCAAAAAATACCCCTGAGCTCAGATGTTTTGTTCTGTTGATCTCCTTGTGGAGCTCCTGTCCCCTTCAGGTCTTTTTTTTTCTCCCCCTTCTTTCACAAGATTCCCTGGACTATGCCCAAAGTGTGGCCATGAGCCTCAGCATCTGCTTTAATACCCTGATGGGTAGAGTCTTTCAGAAGCCCTCTGTGGTAAGCTCCTGTTCTGTTTCCTGTTTTCTTCTTCTTCTGATGTCCATTCCATTTGCCTTTCTGAGTGAGGATTGATCATCTTATCCTGGGTCCTCCTTCTTGATTAGCTTCTTTAGGTGTACAGATTTTAGTATGTTTTCTTATATGTCTAATATTTACTTATAGTGAGTATATACCATGTGTGTCTTTCTGCTTCTGGGATACCTCACTCAGGATGATCTTTTCTAGTTCCCAATATTTGCCTACAAATGTCATGATTTTAATTGCTAAGTGGTATTCCATGGTGTAAATGTATCACAATTTCTGTATTCATTCCTCAGTTGAGGAGCATCTGGGTTGTTTCCACATTCTGGCTATTATGAATAAAGCTGCTACAAACATGGTTGAGCAAATGTCCTTGTTGTATACTTGAGCCTCTTTTGGATATATCCTTAGGAGTGATATAGTTGGATCTTGAGGAAGCACTATTTCTAATTGTCTGAGATAGCATCAAATTGATTTCCAACATGGTTGTACAAGTTTACATTCCCACCAGCAATGGAAGAGGGTTCTTTCCCACCAGCAATGGAGGAGGGTTCCCCTTTCTCCACATCCTCTCCAGCATGTATTGCCACTTGAGTTTTTGTTCTTAGCCATTCTGATAGGTGTAAGATGAAATCTCAGGGTCGTTTTGATTTGTATTTCTCTCTGATACGTAAGGATGTTGAGCATTTCTTTAAGTGTTTCTCTGCTATTTGATATTTCTTCATAGAGAATTCTCTGTTTAGCTCTGTACCCTATTTCTTTTTTTTTTGTACCCTATTTCTTAAATTGAATTACTTGATTTGTTGCTTTTTAACTTCTTGAGTTCTTTATATATTCTGGATACCAGCCCTCTATGAGATATAGGTTGGTGAAGATCCTTTCCCAGTCTGTAGGCTATCGTTTTGTTCTGATGACAGTGTCCTTTGAAAAAACAGCATTTCTTCATGGCTTCTGTTTCAGTTCCTGCCTCTAGGTTCTTACATTGTTTGAGTTCCTGCCTTGGCT